TGAAGCATCCGGTGTGTCTTACATACACACACACACACACACACGCACATCTAGCTAGTTGCTGTCAGAACTGTTCGTCGGCTTTCACCGAGGTCGCGTTTTAGTTAGGCATGTAAACTGGCGCTACGAGTCGTCGATTTTATTTAGCACTTGTATACACAGTATCTGGAGAAACCAAACGTAACATTTGAAAATGAGCTTCGTCTTTACAGGATGATCGTTTGTAAAGTAGACTTACTGATGTGTCCCGGAAGAACAACCCGTCAAACTTGAATATAGTCTAGCTATATACGCGGAAGGTTAAAAAAGCTCTATTCAGTAATGCATATTTGCTCAAGAAAATATCATCCATCCTTCAGAGCATGATTTGATCACGTTTTTTTTTTTTTTTTTGGAGAGGGATGAGTGATGCTTCCATTCGAAAATTGATCATCTAGGAATAATAAAGTATTTATCTGAAGAATCTCTTGAAAGCACAAAATTTCACGAAAGAAAATAAAATACCCTGTACTGAGACGTGGAAGAAAAGCTCGAAAAATAATTAATCCAATGTTATACATTAAAAGAAGTACAGTACAGTATGTTCCTCTTTTGGTGGTTTCTTCTGTTTATAAAAAGAAGGTTCGGTGATCTGACCAAAATATCACCGAATTTGGAAATATTCTGAGATTTTTGGTTGATCAACTCACGCGTTCTTTTCCTTTTTCTCTTTTTGAAAGCTAAACATCCGGCAACCAAGCAATGAAATGAACAAAATTGGATCGGTTTCATCGAAATTTGAACCATGCATTTTTGAAGGATCATCTGAAATACAAAAATAAGTGTGTACCGCAAGTGTTCCGTTGTAACTAATAGTAGAGTTTATTCATCGTTGTTCGTCGGTTGATTTTGATAAACTCGTGCATATTTTAGCCCCAACGAGGGAAAATCTGTTCTTCTTTATTCCCTATACAAAGCGATTTTTTGAAACATAAAAACTGGCAAGTTTTCTAGATAATGCAATAAGTATCACTATTTTCCCTCATTTACTACAATGCCGAATTTCCCCGAATTCACGATCTTCTCCACTATTTTTTGGGATTCAACTGAGTAATTTTCTATTTTATACGGTCTACTTAGGTTAGATTTTGTCGGATTTGATGAAATTGGGATAGCTTGGGTCAGAAACGGGAAAATCAAAATAGCCACCAAACAACCATCTGTCCATTGGGCAATTTGTTCAACATGATTGGGTTTTTGGAGGCCCCTTATAGATTGGAAGCAATAGATTTCATCGCATCGGATCCAATAAATGACACCCATCACCTAAAGGCGATGCCCGAAGTCCGGAACCAGAACGAATTCCTCTCTGGTTTTTGCACTCCCATTGTTTTCTGCACGGGGTCCCTGTGTCTTCAGCGGAAGCCAATTAAAACCCCAGCGGAAGCGNATGTATGTGTGTGTGTGTGTGTGTGCGTGTAGATCGATCAACGACAGTCTTGACAAGCAGCCGAAAGTGGCTCCAGCGCAAAATCAATCCGTACATTTGACCGCGATGCTCAGCAGCTAAAATAAATCCACTTAGTATCTGGAGGAACCAAACGTAACGTTTGAAAATGAGCTTCGTCTTTACAGGATGATCGATTGTAAAGTAGACTTACTGATATGTCCCGGAAGAACAACCCGTCAGACTTGAATATAGTCCAGCTATATACGCGGAAGGTTAAAAAAAAAAGCTCTGTTCAGTAATGCATATTTGCTCAAGAAAATATCATCCATCCTTCAGAGCATGAATTGATCACGTTTGTTTTTTGGAGAGAGAGAGGGGGCGGGGGGAGTGATGCTTCCATTCGAAAATTGATCATCTCGGAATAATAAAATATTTAGCTGAAGAATCTCATGAAAGCACAAAATTTCACTAAAGAAAATAAAATACCCTGTACTGATACGTGGAAGAAAAGCTCGAAAAATAATTAATCCAATATTAAAAGTTGAAAGAAGTACAGTACAATACAGTATGTTCATCTCTTCTCTTATTGGTTTTTTTTTATAAAAAGAAGGTTCGAAGGTTCGATGATCTGACCAAAATATCATCCGATACCAAATTTGGAAATATTCTGAGACTTTTGGTTGATCAACTCACACGTTCTTTTCCTTCTTCTCTTTTTGAAAGCTGAAAATCCGGCAACCCAGGAATGAAATGAAGAAGAGAAATTCGGAACTGTTGCATTGAAATTTGAACCACGCATTTTTGAAGGATCATCTGAAATACAAAAATAAATGTGTACCGCAAGTGTTCCGTTGTAATTAATGGTAAAGTTCATCCGTCGTTGTTCGGCGGTTGATTTTGATAAACTCGTGCCTATTTTAGCCCCAACGAGGGAAAATCTGTTCTTCTTGATTCAATGTACAAAGTGATTTTTTTGAAGCATAAAAACAGGCAAGTTTTCTAGATAATGCAATAAGTATCACTATTTTCCCTCATTTACTACAATGCCGAATTTCCCCGAATTCACGATCTTCTCCACTATTTTTTGGGATTCAACTGAGTAATTTTCTATTTTATACGGTCTACTTAGGTTAGATTTTGTCGGATTTGATGAAATTGGGATAGCTTGGGTCAGAAACGGGAAAATCAAAATAGCCACCAAACAACCATCTGTCCATTGGGCAATTTGTTCAACATGATTGGGTTTTTGGAGGCCCCTTATAGATTGGAAGCAATAGATTTCATCGCATCGGATCCAATAAATGACACCCATCACCTAAAGGCGATGCCCGAAGTCCGGAACCAGAACGAATTCCTCTCTGGTTTTTGCACTCCCATTGTTTTCTGCACGGGGTCCCTGTGTCTTCAGCGGAAGCCAATTAAAACCCCAGCGGAAGCGAAGACGGAAGCGTGACGTTTTTGGGGTGTTGAGGCTGCTTAATTTCTTTCCTTTTCCCCTTTCGCTTTTTTTTTTTTTTTGCTGTGTCTGCGTCGAGTTTTCGACGCATGAGTGACGTTCGACACGAGGTCGATTCTCAGGGGAGTTTCGAGACCGGAAAAAATGACTCTATTTTCGTCTGGTTTCCTTGTCAAGTTCGGGTGCGGGAGTTTTTTTTTCTAAGAATGACCTTGACACTAGAGAGATTTCAGGGCAAAGAAATATTCAGTGTTCAAAAGCCAGAGGTCAATTGGTATCTGATGCTATCCCAATTTATTGGAAATTGAATTACAGGTATAATCATAGAATTATTCGAAGTCCTGATAGTCAACTTCTGAAATGTTGGTTCTCCGAGGCAGCACTGTCGTTTCAAATGGATCATGCGACGTTGATCGATTTTTAAAATGTGCACAATATTTTAATAGCTATCGAGACTTCCGTCAGTGATATTCCCAAAAAATTTCGAAACAGGTTTGCTAGCAGAGCTTTTCAATTAGGAAAATCACATTTTTTCGACCAAATATAGCGGTCAAAATAAATGCGAGACTAGATCTTTAATAACGCATCGATTACATGACAAGGATTTAAAAATCTTACACGCGCAAAAGAGATGCAATCCAAGGTTCTTCACATACAGTGATGTTCCGAGATGCGGACTTAATTGGCACTTGAACCTTTTCCCTCATCCGAATGTCCACAAGTCAGATCACGTTTTCCTAAATACTTCAATGGAACTTATCTGAATGAATTTCCAGTCGATCAAAAATTAGAAATATGTCTTTAAAAAAATTTGAATAATTTTTTGCTCAACTTCAAGGAACAGAAAGTAACTGTGCAGAAGGAAACCACACAAAATGTGATATTTCTGGCATCAAAATAAGCTGAAGAGGCAAAAAACGAGAACAAGTCTTGCTATTTACCCTGCACAGATAATGGAAAAAAGTAATATTTTTCAATTTCTTTTAGAAATTTTGGAAAAGTGTCTGCATCTACTCGAGACATTCTCCAGATTATTTGGCAGATATTAATGAGTTTAAAATGTCCCTCAGTCGAATCTTCCATATAGCAGGGTGTCAGTGTGTTTGGGTCCCACTACTGCAAATGGATCAATTTACTCAAATGATGTGCAAATTTTTTTAATGAATCTTTTCCAGTTTTCTAGAAACGTTGGAAAAGTGTCTGCATCTTGGCGATATCGTCCAGATGTTGGGTCAGATTGATGTCATTTTGAGTTTCCTCAACTCGAATCTTTCATATATCAGGAATTGAGTCGGTTTGCTGGGGTCTCACTGAATATAGTTCAATTCATTCATGACGTATCCAAATTTCGAAAAATAAAATTTTCCACTTTTTCAGAAATATTGGAAAAGTGTCTGCATCTTGGCGATATTGTCCAGATGTTGGGTCAGATTGATGTCATTTTGAGTTTCCTCAACTCGAATCTTTCATATATCAGGAATTAAGTCGGTTTGCTGGGGTCTCACTGAATATAGTTCAATTCATTCAAGACGTATCCAAATTTCGAAAAATAAAATTTTCCACTTTTTCAGAAATATTGGAAAAGTGTCTGCATCTTGGCGATATCGTCCAGATGTTGGGGCAGATTGATGTCATTTAAAGTGTCCTTAACTGGAATCTTTTATATATCAGGAATTGAGTCGGTTTGCTCGGGTCTCACTGAAAATAGTTAAATTCATTCAAGAGATATCCAAATTTCGAAACTTGAAATTTTCCACTTTTTCAGAAATATTGGATAAGTGTCTGCATCTTGGCGATATTGTCCAGATGTTGGGGCAGATTGATGTCATTTAAAGTTTCCTTAACTAGAATCTTCCATATATTGGGAATTAAGTCGTTTTGCTGGGGTCTCACTGAATATAATTGAATTCATTCATTATATATCCAAACTTTGAAAAAGCAAAATGTTCCCCCTTTTTCCGAAATGTTCGAAAAGTGTCTGCATCTTGAAGACACTGCCCAGATGTCAGGGCATTTCTTATTTTTTCAAGTTTCCTCAAGTCAAACACTGTAGCCTATTTTTCGGGGTCTCGCTTCATTTTCCGCTCCTTTGTTTGCATATATTCCCCAGGTCAAATGTTCTTGATGAACAGATTCTTCGACGGGTTGTTCTTCACCTACGGACTGGACGTGATCATGTTCGCCGAGTGGGACCAAGAAGACCGTCTGGATCCCATGATCTACGTCTTTCCCCGGATGACCAAGTGCAGTTTCCGCATGTTTGGCCGATCCGGGGAAGTGGAGCAGCACGACTCACTCTGCATCCTTCCGCTCAACATAGTCAACGAGAAGATCTACATCTTCCTCTGGTTCTGGTTCCTCATGTTGGGCTTGCTCAGTTTCGGCGTCGTCGTGTATCGACTCGTCATCATCCTGAGTCCCCGCATGCGGGCCTACTTGCTGAGCCTCAGGTTCCGACTCATCAACAGAGAGGTCGTTCACACGCTGGTGCGGAAAAGCAAGATGGGCGACTGGTTCTTGTTCTACATGTTGGGCCAGAACATCGACACGCTGATTTTCAGGGACATCATGCACGACCTGGCCAAGCGCATCGGGCATCCCAGCAGCGGTTCCAAGGAATACGGAGAGCCTTGATGAATATATACTGTACACGCAAGAACCTCCAGCTCCCACCGAAAATTCAATTTTTAAATCCGATTTTTCTTTTCTTTTTTTTCTGGCGGAATAACGATAATTGCCCTTTTACTTATTCGAGATCGAAAATTTAAAAAAATCTAACAACGCTTTTTTATTTCTTGTGACGAAATTTCCGAACCCAAGTTGCTTCTTTTCCCCCATTTTTTTTTTTCAAGACGCGCACTGACTTATTGGAAGATTGAGCAAATTAAAAACGGAAGCAACTTTAGGGGAATTAAACGAAATACTAGGGATGGTTCATAAGTTTGATGGATCCTTTGGAGTCTTTTTAGATCAACGAGAGGAAAAAAAAACTTCGATTTCAAAATGTCACTGACAAATCTTTTGAACCAACCCTGGTACAGTAACTGAATTTTTGTAAATTAAGCGGTGGATATTCAGCCAAACATTAGAAAAACTTTCAAGTGCGATACAACGGAAAACCTGCGCTGAAAAGGCATCGCTTTTTTTCGTCTGAATACTTAAACCCCGTTTCAGAGATTCACAGATAGAAAAAAATATATGCATAATACAGCATCGATAATGAGAGAATTTTAACGCGAAATTAATCGTCGTCAATGGAAGAGTCACATTCCACCTAGAAAAGTTATTGGCGATTTCAGAACCTTGAAAAAATCTCTTTTAAAATTTCGTGAGTAAAAAAAGAGAACATGCTCAGTAATGAACAATTCGAGTCACGAAAACGGATTGAATTAGCATCCTGATGTCGAAAAATATCGTGAGAATTTCTCGTCCGGTTGGCAACGAGGGAACATTTTAATACAAATACGTACGTCGAAGCTCTTTGAGCGACAAAGAAACAGAGACCAACCGTTTTGTCTTGATTGTTTTTCTTGTTCACTCTGTTTTTTTTTCTCTCTTTGGTGAACCTACATTGATATGCGCATATTTGGAGCAAACTGAAGAAAACGGATCTTCCTTGAAAAGAAGAAAATTATGAGTATCGTACTGATGTCGACCATCTTTAAAAAGAAAAAAAAGGGACGTGAAAGTTTTTTTTTTTTTTTGTGGAAAGCGTTTCTCGAATTCTCAATCGGGGTCCAAATGCTATTTTTTCCTTCCTCGGCAGATTGACGTGATCCATTTAAAATTATTACTTGCCTAGTTTTCTGTTCTGCACGTTTATTTTTAATCACAAGATTTTGGACTGTTTTCTTTATTGTTGAATGATTATCTAATTGTCAAGCGTGTATTTTTTAGTTACCAGAGAATTGGCTCAAACTAGATTTTGTTTGGTTCAATTCAAGCAGGATGTGTTCGCACAACAGAACTGCGAGAATTTCTCGGTTATCTCGCAGAGTCATCTCAATACTTTTCGGAAGAGAAAAACCCCGGTTTGGTTTCAATTTTGTTGGTTACCGATTTGGTTGTTTTACGTTCAAAATTGATTGATTGGAAGTCGACCTTCTTGATTCGAATGAAAGTGAACGAAACGCGTTTTCTGCGGCTCAAAAGGTCGTTGGATTGTAGTTGAAATTGCTCTTCTTTGCTGGACCAGTGTTGCAAGAAAATCTTTTTTTTTATTTCAATGTGTCTCGAAAATTGTTTCATTTTTTCCTGTTTCCGTGTGATTTCACACGAGAACATTGGCGTTTTTCGTGCATGAGGTGTCCTCCATGTTTTCGTGGAAAAAAATGTGAGGCAATAAAGCGAAAAAGACGATTGGGATTTCTCTTTCAAAGAAAGTCTTTGTTTAAATATTAGTGACGGGGAATGCTTTTCTGGATTTTGAATAGCATTCCAAATTCAAGACACCACAACATCTGACATACAGGGTTGCTTTCAAACGTGTGAATGAATTTTCGAACCCCTTTTCAATCCTATCCAGGAAATATTTTTTTCATTTTTTATCATGTAATGTACAGTATACCACAAAATAATGCATATCGTTCCAGCTCAAAGATCGCTTGAACGGTTCCGACTGTAGCATTGAAGCTCATTCAACTCATTTTCCAATTATTTTATTTTCACAATTTTATGAGATTAGACTTGAACGTCACACGCATTTTATTCTAATATACGAAAAAATATCCAAAAACTGTTGAGGCGCTCTTTTTTTTTTTTTCAAAGGTTGATGAGGTTTGTAAACATTGTCGCTCATACGCGTAATTTTAGACTTGAACGTCACACGCATTTTATTCTAATATACGAAAAAATATCCAAAAACTGTTGAGGCGCTCTTTTTTTTTTTTGCAAAGGTTGATGAGGTTTGTAAACATTGTCGCTCATACGCGTAATTTTGATCGAGTCGAAGTAGTAAACCATTCAAAAATATGTCCAATTTCAGGATGTCATATTCTCTTCCCTCTATACGTCTCTTCGTAATTTATTTCATATAATAATAATTAGATATATGGTACGTACATCGTAATAAATTCACTTACGATAGGATTCGGGTTTACTGGCCTATTTCCAGACATCCTTCGTTGGATAAAAATATTTTCTTTTTGCTCATTATTTTCTACTTTTGCTGACTTTCATTAGGCGAATAAATAAATAAATAAATAAAATTTTATTACGAAGAGTTGATCGAATGAGATTTCTGTCCCTCTTCCATGAATCCGCGGCCAAAGAGAAAAAAAACAGTGACTCGTCAATTATTTTATTCGGTTGATTCACCTGCAAAATTAAGAAAATCTCAAAATCAATTTATGATCGGATTATGGTTAAAGCAAGAAAATATTTCTTGAAAATATGAATCAAGAATCGGATAGCTAAATCATCAACTTGATTTGGGGGGGGGGGTGGAGAAGTCGTCTAAAATAATTGCGACCCGAAACCCGCTCGAAAAATATAATCCTGAACCCGCAAATTATTATAAACGACGTAGCTTGCAAATGAACGGGAAGCAACTTCGCAGGGAACTAATTACTATTCTCAGTACATTACCATCACCCCGCAGGAGAAAGAAAATAAAATAAATAACTAATCAAATCACTGCGTTCGTCGACGTCTCATCCGTGAGCAGCTTATCCCTCCTCGTCATCACGTCCAAGTGATTCGTCACGTTTCGACACTGGCAAACAACTCGCCCCTGAGGAGCGAAGCACGGGCGAAGATGAGGCAGGGCTTCGAGCCAATTCGAAGATGAATCTTTTATCCCAAATAAGAAACAGAAGTCCTCGTACAACTTAAAAAAAAAACGCAGTTCAATGATAATACTAATAACGAGTATTTTTCCGATATATTGGGTCAAGCTAAAAAATAATAATAATTGGACAAAAGTGAGCAGAAGATTTTCATTCGAATGAACTAGAGATAAATGTTGCGGGGGAAATGATTATCAAAGAAATTCAAGTAGAAACATATTGAAAAGAAAACTATTTTCTCATCTGATTGGCGCAATATTCAAGACAGAGAGAGCGCCGTAAAGGTTACACGTATGGAATACTGTATTACATTTAAATATACGGTACTATAATTTTATGCGACACATATAATGTTACAGTACACTGTTATTAGTTGAAACTTGAGAAGCAAGGACAATGCAACACGGAATATTGGTATTTGAACCTATGAGACCTATTTAAATCCTAAACCAATAAACTTATGCATGAAACCACGTCATATATAAATTTTGAAGGCACGAACTTTAATTCAATTAAAAAGATCGCCGTGTCAAATCACATGAGCATAAAATTTTCGACCGAATAGTCCAACTGTTGAAACTCTCCTTTTGATACACATACTGTACATGTATTTCGATCGTGGCTTAATCTAAATTTTACAAATGTGACGCAAAAATTGTTGAATACATCTAGTATGACAGATCAGCAAGTCTTCGTCCGTACGTTTTCTTCCGAAATGAGCATCCATTCTGAAATCATCATATTAATCTGCTTGTCTCTTGCAGAATAATGGGGAGAAGCAGCAAAAAAATTTTGATCATTTTTTTCAAAGTTGGATACGCGATTACTACATAGTCTACTTTCAGATCAATTCTCAGCGAATTTTAAATACGGTATGCTTGTATGTTTTCTCTCGAGCATCAGTCATCTTTACTCCCAACTTTTTCATGTAGAATAATTTGAAACACTTTTCAGAGACGCTGGAACTGTGACATATACAGTGAGACCCCAAGATGCAGACATAATTGGTGCATCAAGAATGTCCCTGAATCAAGTCTCATTTTTCCTTAGACTTACATTATATAATTTTTAATTGGTGTTTCATGGACAAAATACTCACCATAATTCCATGACACTTTTGTCCAATTATTATTATTTTTTAGCTTGACCCAATATATCGGAAAAATACTCGTTATTAGTATTATCATTGAACTGCGTTTTTTTTTTAAGTTGTACGAGGACTTCTGTTTCTTATTTGGGGAAGTGAATACTGATACCTCTGTGCAGTATGTATAAATGTTGGCATTCTCTGTAAAAAATAACATTCAAGTGAAAAAGAGAGAAAGAAGTCTCTTTATGCTGGAGCTACTTTTTTAAATTAGCTAAATGGATGGTAAATTAGTGAGATAAATATGCACAAGAACTTTTCTTGCATAAATTTTAGGGTTGGAAATATCTGTTTCTTGTATTTTGGCCTGAAAATTTTTTGCAATTTATCACAAAATGTCCCTATGTTGAGTCAGTGTCCTCATGTCAGGCCTTTTTCATTAATTTTTTATGGGAAAATAAGTGTCCCTATGTTGAATTGTCCGCATGTGGGGGTCTCACTGTACTGCGCATTTATTTTTTCAAGCATCAATCTTCACTTGGAGTTTTTTTTTCAGCAGTGTAAAATGTACAAGAGCCTGCGTCTGCTATGGCATGCACACGTACGTTTTGTTTTTATGATTAATCTTCACTCGGAGCTTCGTTTTTTTTAGAATTGAAATTGTAAACGTGTATTTGAGTCTCGTGCTGCGTTTTACACAATCAGACCAGGAAATTTCTCGGCGGGAAGGAAAAAACCTAATGCCGAGTGCCCCCAAGGTGTTGGCACGAAACTGGAAGGGAGGAAAACGGAAGCCGCTAATTTCCCAGGATGTCTCGCAACCAGCAGCACTTTAGTTAACTTTCTGCACAGGGGGGCTCCCCCTTCCGTTTTCCGCTCGAAATGGGAAGCTGCAAAAGAAGGGGGCATTTGTGCTAATGTTGCAGTCACTTGTTCTTCTCTCACTCTCCGTTTCCCCCCCTATACTGAACATACACATGTCCTATGCAGTATCTTTTCTCCCTCCGAAACCCACTGGATGCATTAAAAGAATGATCATGAGGTGGTGCTGGTGTGGAGGGGTGGTGGTGGTGGAAAGTAGCCGCAATAAATGCAGAATTGCTTTCACGGAATGTAGACGAGGGGAAAAAAAGTTTCTGAGACGTTACATGTCCTCTTTTTTCCCCTTGGGGTCTGAAACGACCTGCAAACTTTCACGAAGAAAGCATGGAATTCCTTGAAGAAATTTTCAACTCGTGCCTCTTATGGGTCTCATTCCGCCAACTAAAGAAGCTAGTCTTTGCTCTTTTGTGAACAAGAAGCGTAAGTGAATAACTTCGTAACATTCTCTTAAATTTTACGAAGTTATTCACTGTAATTCTTGTTTTGCGGACGTTTACCCAAAAATGACCCTATTCTTATTATAACCAGTATTACGCCAAAATTTGCTGGAAAAATCTAAAATGCCTCTGATGGGTCTCATTCCGCCAATTAAAATAGCTAGTCTTTGATCTTTTAATTGTGAACAAGAAGCGTAAGTGGATAACTTCGTAACATTCTCTAATACACTGTAATTCTTGTTTTGCGGACGTTTACCCAAAAAATGACCGTACTGTATTCTTATTATAACCAGTATTACGCCAAAATTTGCTGGAAAAATCTAAAATGCCTCTGATGGGTCTCATTCCGCCAATTAAAATAGCTAGTCTTTGATCTTTCAAGAACGAAAACCGTAAGTGAATAACTTCGGAACAAGCTTTTATTCACTGTAATTCTTGTTTCGCGGAAGTTTACTCAAAAATGACCGTATTCTAACGAGAATTACGTCAAAATTGGCTGGAAAAATCTAAAATGCCTCTGATGGGTCTCATTCCGTCAATTAAAATAGCTAGTCTTTGCTCTTTCGTGAACGAGAGGCGAAAGTGAATAACTTCAAAATGTTCGCTCATACATACTGTATAATTCCTGCTTATTCGCGGAAGTCTGCCAAAGTGACCCTCCTCTTATTTTAGCCAGAATCATGCTGCAAAGGTAACATAAAAACGTTGCGTGGAAGTGCAAAAACATTTTCTCTCGAATAAGTACACTTTTCGACCCGCAAACAGCCTCAACCCAAAAGTGGACGATTGCTTCGTGATAATCCATCACCAGTCGGTCTCCGAATAATCCTCGTATAAAGCAAAAACACTGCATCGCACGTTATTATTTCAACCGAATCCAACGAAAGAAAAGATCAATGTTAACGTGATGATAATTCATATTCCTCGTAGCCAGAAGATGACGAAAGATATGCCATTGAGGCAGGCAAAGAAGCAGAAGATATGCACTTGGGGGTTAATGCAGTCGAGAACATCTGTTACGCGTGAGCAACTGCGAACAATGGCATGTTTCTCTCTGTGATGGGGAAAAAAGAACGCATTTCCGGGAAAAGTTTTTGCTACTCGTCGGTTTCAGATGTTACTGAAAATTCTTGGGCATATGCAAGGAACTGCACTTCCGATATCGTTGGTGCATGTTCAGAAAACGATTCGATATATACGAGTATGTACAGTACTGTACAGTATAAGAATCCCGCAGGATGACGTCTGGTTTCCGAACGGAGTGTACATCATTTGGAAAGAAAAATGGGGCAATTTCAAGTTTTATTTTGACGATCAGATTATGCAGAGAGACGATTCATATTCATCCTGAGGATTTCAGAGCAGGTCTCCTGCTGATTTTAGGGATATAAAGAAGAATAAAAGAAACAGAGATCAGTTGCCCTTATTTTTCTCGCTCCATCTGTCAGGGACCACCAGAGGTCGCTCGAATCCCTGAAGATACAGTACAGCACGTCCACGTACACTAAAAATCGAACAAACACACTCATTCCTACAACTGAATGACCATGAAAACTGCATGGTCACAAAACCTGACCTCCAAGAAATCCCACAATCATGAAGCACCGAAGAAACATTTCACTTTGTCTAGCAATCTTGTTCAAAACAGACTCCAAAAAGCTGTCTGAAAAGTGAGGCATTCATTTTTCTGTGAAATTCAATTACTTGTGAAAATATTGTACATGAGTTCAAGGAGACTTGGTCTCAGCCTCAAATGGTATATTGTGTTTACCTTTATTTTATGTAAAATTTCTTAGTCTGGACCCAGGGCCTCTGACAGGAATGAATTCTTTTGTATAGATGGTTTTTTTTCAAAAGTTTTCCATGCTTCCTGGATCCTAACGAGGCCTGCATTAATGGCCATTTTCTCAGTTTGTGTTTCGATGAATATCAAATTTTAAAATTGGTGAAACGAATACCGTAAATCAATGAAAAACTGTTTTTCCCCCGACTAGTCATCCTTCGCAATTCTCTAAAACGCAAACCTTCTTAGTGGGAGTACCAAGAAGAAAAGATTTCCACGCAAAAGTCAAGAAACAAACCAAGAAAGAAAAACATGTGGTAATATCTCAGAAAGGAACGCGAATTTTATTCGACCAATCTCGAATTATTCCTGCACATCTGGCACAACATTCATGCCGTAACCGTCTGAGAATAACCATTGCCTGAGGCATCTCAAAAAGAACACGAGATCCGGATGCTATAGTCTCAGGAATCTAAATTTAAAATGAAGAAAAAAGCAGCAATGCCATTCGAATAATTCGCAAAAATATACATATACATATGCACGTACACGGAATAAGAGAGTAGGAACACAAATATGGAACCTAACCACAGATAATTTCGATTGGCAACGTAGCCAAGTCATTATAAGAATCGCAAAAACTTTGTAAGTTTTGTCAAAGCAAACGATGTTTTTTTTTTCTTTTCCACTCCTGATGCTGTTTCGTTTTCATGGAACTGTCAAATCAAGCTTTGTTGTTGGGATCGGGGGTCGGCGATCGATATTCACTGGGGATCGGAGTTGGGTGATTAATGAAGTGATGAACAGCGGCTTCTTCGCCAATTCGCATTCGTCTGTCCATGTCGTACAAAACGTCGGCCAGTTTCCCAAAATCCATGTAGTATGACATTGTGTACAGCAGAAACCAATCGCCGCGAGACGTCTTGAGAAAAATGCGGTCCAACAGCTTCTTGTCCACGAATTTCAACTGATTTCTGCGACGAAATCAAGCCTCGCAATTTATTTTGAAATTCACGAATATTGAGATTATTAGAAGAAGCCCTTTACAATACTCGGCGCAAATGGCACCAGAAGTTCGCTTGACGACAATTTTCTTCATGATTTGATTTAAAAACATAACTTCACGGATCGAATCAAAACCCTGAAAATGTTCATAATCTCCACTAAAACCTAATAAAACTCTTTATATGTGATGGAATCCGTTTTGTGGTCAATTGCATAATTCAATAACTAAAAAAAAGGCATTTTCGGCAGATTTCATTTCCCTCAATGCGGTTGTTTACATTTCTGAAGTCGAGGAATCTTATCGTCATTCCTGTAGAGATGATCTTTTGTCTAATCCTTAATTTTTTCCTATTTTTTCCGTAACGAAATTTTATCTCTTTGGGATATTTTTAATTTTCTAAGTACCTTCGGAAGTCGGAACCACGATCAAATTGTTCTTGAAGATTCAGAAAAAGCATTCACTTGAATTACGTATAGTTTTCCTACCATACTTAGTGGAGCATTTCGAGCACAAGTGCAATTCAAGGTACAATTTTAGTAGCAAAGGTACCCCGGATAATGGACTCCTCGCATGATGTATTTTTGCAGAACGTACTCGGACTGTCGGCAATATTTCCTTTGAATACCAAACATGTTTTGCATAATTGAAAGCAGTAAAACAGGATATTGTGCGAAAATTTTCAACCAGCAACATTTTTACAAGGAAATACAGTAGAAGCTTTCTCGATATTCTTGATTGCATATAGGTATGGAGCAACACCTTTTTTCTCCGACTTTTCTACAATTATTTTATGATACAGTATTTTGAGCTGAGTCATAAATTCGTTCAGAAATGTACAATGTAAACACAATATTAAGGAGTCTGAAATTACAATATAATTTCTCAGTATTTTTCATTCCATTTTTCCTCAGAATGGAAACTTTTTGAATTTCTTGATACTGTAATGATAAACGCAGCTTTTTTTTATTGTGAGTTTCCGTGCCTTATTTCTGAGTTCTTCTGAGTACGAACATATTTTCTTAATCTATGGGTGAAGAGAGCATGAGAATTAAATTTCCAGAGATTTCGTAACCTATGGAAAAATAACTCAGCACTTTGAACAACATTTTGAGTTCAGGATCGGACAACCCATTCCATTATTTGAACGGATGGATTTCATTACTCGAGGTCCCACTGCAACCCCCATATTATTGCAAAGAAAAATTAAGAAAATACAGTTTGCAAACTGCTCGACTGACTCTCGTGTAAAATTCACCTGAACATGCTTTGGTGCAATCGTGGACTGAGGAAGATCATCAAGCGATAAAACACCAGAATCAGCGTCATTCCCCCGAGAAGCAAGAACCAGAACCACTGGACCAGGAAAATCTTCTCGTTGACAACGTTGAGCGGAAGCACGCAAAGGGCTTCAATGACGTCTAGGTTGCCATTGAATGCGAATGCTTGCAAGGTGCACTTGGTGACGCGAGGAAACACGCGCCACATGGGATTTGGCACGTGGTTGCCCTCGGACTCGAGAAACTCCAGCACGCGGACACCGTAGTCCATGAAAAGACCCCCGAAAAACCAGTCCAAGAGGAATAACTGCGCTGGAAATCCGCGAAATGTTCACAAGCAGCAATTAGAGCCTTTATTGGTAGTGTGACAATTTTTGAATTCATCAGCGTTTCTTTTTTTCTCGTCAGTGAGACGACTCATTTGCTTTGTTATTCTTTTCTTATGAAGCGTTTGGATTTTAGTCATTTTACAAATTGGGTATATCTTAAACGTGACCGAAGTTGAGAAAAGACTGGATGAATTTACTTGTAAGTTGAAGACTGGGGATGTTCAGCACGCTACTGAGAAGGAGGTTATCAATTCGATGTGCCTGACGATCGACTCTTCGATTCCCTGCGACGTCACGTAGATGTCGCCTGAATCTATTCAAGTTTTCATAGAACTGCATAAATGATATGGTGAAAGGTGAACTATTATTTGCATAAATATCCAGGGGGAAAATATCAAGTATGTTATGATACGAGATAGATAGCATAAATGAAATCTGCGGTGAATTATAAAAAATAATAATAATATTCCGACTATACGCGGTATAACTGCGGGAAAACTTTCGTTATTCAAAGAGAGTCCAGCATCTATACATGAAACTGGATGTCTTGAATTTTTTATGGTTTCTCCAGTTATTGAGGATTCATTCAACATTATAGCGAAAAACCTCTGCATTTCAACTGAAAACGAAAATAAAATTCAGCAGTACAGGATATTTATTTGCAAAAACAATACGGATTGAAATAAGGAAGAATTATTAAATCTTGGGATAATCTCACGTTCCTTGCGTTAAAAGGCCAAAACATGTTAATGGTTATTTTCTCAGATGTAAAACTCGCCGATTTCTTCAAGATTTTCTCTCAGTTTATATGCTGTATGTTTCTTCAGCTCTTCCGATGAAGAATTTCCGAATTTGATGTTTATAACTGCTGGAATGATCCTCTTTTTTTCCCTGGAAGGACGTAAATCATGCTCTCCGATATTCCGATTGGAATGATAATCGTCAGGTTCGTTATTCAGGCGACACCTACCTGATGTTCCAGGAAACAAGGCTGACGGGGAAAATTTAGGGCACACATTTTTCATTTTACGCCGATAATACTTATTATTGTATTTTCATTTAGGGTTCAGTGCAAGGTAATTCAATTTCATACCGTGTATTTCGTTTTTTCAACTACCCACAGCGGTTTACCAACAAATGAATAATGTATTTTCTATTTTTCAAATCTCACCGAGGATGTTGAGAAGAGCGACAAGTTCGCAAGCGAAGTAGCGGTACATATACCAATCATTCTTGCTCGAATTTTGGCACAAGTAGCTCGAAATACGCGTTACCGAAGAGCGTTCGTTTCTGGCATCACTTGTGATCAAGAGCCTTTCCAGGAGCCCACCTTCGAAACCCTTCCACAACCAACGGGGAATGTAGAAGAGAATCGCCTGCAGAAATTCGTCAACTCAATTTTATAGAATTCCTACTTTCACAGAGGCTCAAGTCGAAGAGTCGAAGACGAGATTTGGGCTTAAATTCCTGGCACAAAATCTAGCGAGAAAATCAAGTTCAGCTCCAGTAAACTTGCAGTACAACAAAGTATATCCAAACTAATACAACCCACAAAGTGAAGAACCATTAAAATATAGCCCTACAAGGAAGAATGAAAATTGAATCTTCACCACAAAAAAAGGCTTACACATTTGCAAAAAATTCAGCACAATCAATAACTTTTTTTCCATGAACCTACTTCATTCTCCAACAGCGTGCGACATATAAGCTCAAACAAAACCTTAAATACAGTACTGCACTGTACATGTGAATTTACGGGATAGGTTAGAGAATCATTGGAAATTATAATAACAGAGATTCAATTCGCAAGTTCAATATAATTATTTAGTATGCTGAAAATGCTACCAATTTTTTTGAAGAAAAAAAATCATTGGCCAAAGGGAAAATTCCAGAAGGCCTCCATCCCAACCTTTGCAATCTGCTAATTTTGAGTTTTGATTAAACTCAAGTTATAAAGTGAGGTATCATTTCCTTTCATCCTTGAGGCTGCAATAATTCTTCATCAACAATTTATAAATCAATCCCTGCATTCCTAAATGTTTAAAACCCAAGTTAACACACAAGAATCATTCTCGCTTTATTAACCGTAGTTGTGACAACTGTAACAACAAGCTTCACATCTGCCTAAAAAAATTGTCATTCAAGTTCAAACCTCTCGTCTGAGCAGCAGTTTGAAAACAGAATCAAAATTTGGTACTTTCCTGTTATTTCTGTACCTCATTCCTAGACCGCACTACCATCCAGACAAATCTTCAGGACAAGTTCATAATCACGACGACCTACCAGAAACTGTGAATTTTATTTTTCCGCATTCTGCTGAAACTGATTTTGGGAGGCGGTTAGGTCAGGTTATGTTAGTTACAAATATCTTTTAATTAACATAACCTGACCAAACCTAACTTTACCTAACTGCCTCCCAAAATCAGTTCCAGCAGAAACCCAAAGAAAGCAGAAACTGATTTTGGGAGGCGGTTAGGTGAAGTTAGGTTAGGTCAGGTTAAATTGGTCAGAGGGAAGGTACAGAAATAACAGGAAAGTACCAAATTTTGATTCTGTTTTCAAACTGCTGCTCAGACGAGAGGTTTGAACTTGAATGACAATTTTTTTAGGCAGATGTGAAGCTTGTTGTTACAGTTGTCACAACTACGGTTAATAAAGCGAGAATGATTCTTGTGTGTTAACTTGGGTTTTAAACATTTAGGAATGCAGGGATTGATTTATAAATTGTTGATGAAGAATTATTGCAGCCTCAAGGATGAAAGGAAATGATACCTCACTTTATAACTTGAGTTTAATCAAAACTCAAAATTAGCAGATTGCAAAGGTTGGGATGGAGGCCTTCTGGAATTTTCCCTTTGGCCAATGATTTTTTTTCTTCAAAAAAATTGGTAGCATTTTCAGCATACTAAATAATTATATTGAACTTGCGAATTGAATCTCTGTTATTATAATTTCCAATGATTCTCTAACCTATCCCGTAAATTCACATGTACAGTGCAGTACTGTATTTAAGGTTTTGTTTGAGCTTATATGTCGCACGCTGTTGGAGAATGAAGTAGGTTCATGGAAAAAAAGTTATTGATTGTGNTTGTAACTAACATAACCTGACCTAACCGCCTCCCAAAATCAGTTTCATCAGAATGCGGAAAAATAAAATTCACAGTTTCTGGTAGGTCGTCGTGATTATGAACTTGTCCTGAAGATTTGTCTGGATGGTAGTGCGGTCTAGGAATGAGGTACAGAGATAACAGGAAAGTACCCAAAATTCAACCAATTAAATAATTGCAAGGTTCACCTGAAACAATAAAACCATGGCGACCCATTGGTAGTATTTAACGTGCACCACATTATCTGCCCCGGGGCGGACATGCGGGGCAGCCTGCAAGGGATCCGGCTGCACGTCGTGCGGATGATAGTAAGTCGAATTCACCCAGCAAAAGCTCTCTACATAGGCCTCAGGGAATAGATTCTTGTTGTATGCGCAGTGTATGGGTTTCCCCACGTACTGAGACGAGGAAATGAGGACACTGGCCCCAACCAAGAGACACACGGTGAAGGTGTAGTGAAGGCGGAAGATGACGGAGTCCGCTCGAGCCTTGCGGAACTTGAGCAAGTGCAGGATCCCCGAGAACACTTCCAACATTCTGGATTAAAACGCTTAAAACTGCCACACAGATACATACATACATAAACACACAAGCAGGAATTAAGAGCGAATTTTAGTTGCCCTTGATTTGCAAGCGAATCGCGATCGATACGTTGATGTCATGGCTAAGTTTTGATGAGACACTGGATGAAGATGGAATCAGGAAGGCAGGCAAAAATCAGTAACCAACATCATAGTTCATAAATATTTAGACACACATCAAAACTCTTCATCGCAATATAGTAATCTGAAATACACAAAACATCTACATTCGGATATTCCTCAAGAGACCCTTGAACCTTGACAAGGTTTCACTTGCCTGTCAGTTAAATCTTTCAGAAATTATCGTGAGTCTTGATTCAGAAAGCATGTATACTTAGTGCAGTTTTTCCTATTGTTTCTTTTATTTTTTAGTTATTTCGAAGGTTAGATGATAACACTTTAAAGGTAGAAGAAATTCTTTCATTAGCATTTGTTTAAAGCTTAACAGAAAAATTGGCCAATTTTTATCATTTTCAAGGCAAATTAGAAAATTAATAATTTGTGCGAATTGGATCTATTCGATGTAACAAGTTTAGATATAATATTTTTGCTTTATGCCGCACATTTCCAACGTCTTTCTGATGATGACAAATAGTTTTTGTTCTAAAATGGTCGATTATGTTTCCATTTTTGAAGACAACAGCCTCGAATTCTTCAATCTTCAGAAGAAAAAAACTTTCTCTTCTAGTCGTCAAAAATGTCTGGATTCTTAAGATAACACCAGTGCTATGTACAGTATTTTTTTTATGAGGTTCCAATTCTTTAGACACAAGTTCATTGAAAAATTAAATAAAGTATTGAAATTTTGCAGGTCTACTAATTTGCGAATATTTTACTGTGCTGTACTTTTACAGTATCGCCAAGGACACTGGCTTCTGTTCACAACTGTAAAAGATCAGCTGACGTGAAACACTGATCTCGCTGTCGATATTTTCGGTCTTACATAAGGTCTCCAGGGAATCCCTTTGGCAGATCAGATAATTAACAGAAAAGGGAAAAAAGGGAGAAATTAACGTTTTGTAAATACTGTACTTCTTGAGTCACGTAATCTTTTATGTTGCACGTGCGACCTCGACAGCTGTAACAATCAGATCAACTTTTTTCCGCGTATTCCATGTAACAAGCAATCAGGTAATTTGTCTTTATTTCCTTTCCTGAGGGATTCGGGGAACAAGCGGCAGTCATTTTTTTTTTTTGGAAGATTTTCTGCGAATATGCCTCAAGACCTCCTCACTTTGGAAGAGGTCAGACAATGACTGGGAATTTTTGAAAATAAATTCGCGACTTTTAAACAAAAGGTTGTGTTTACCAAAGATATATGAGACTGATGCCGACCGTGTTCGGGGTAAATTCGAGAAATTCATAATCAAATTCCTCTCCAGTCCAAAATTCATGTCAATATTGAACCTTCTCCCACTTGAATATTCAAGGCGAGTTTCAATTCCACCATGGAAGGACAGTGAACGACACGCCATGGACCAAAGCGCAACTTTGCGTTGTAGTATTTCCTTCCCCAGTAGATGTCGCTCACATTCAAATGAAGCGCTTCCTGTGCAAACGTTCACGAGTGTGTTTTCCTGAGCAAGGAATTGTATAGTACCGTACGCAGACCACAATTTATCAAAGTTGTGGCCGCATTTGCATGAAACGAAGGTCGCGCATGCGATAAACATCCTGCTGCTTTGTTTATTCCGTCGTGTCTTTCTTGCATGGAGCTATATACGATTTACCCGATTGGGTAGTCTGGGATGTGAAGTCAAGCGACGCCACCACCATAGACGCTGATTCCTGGCTAAAAATGATCCATCTACAAAAACGATACTGCAGGAATCAAACTAATAAATACAAGTCTGAGACAACGTCGAAAAGAGAAACGTGATCCCGAGTTTCCGGTCGTGTTCATACGTACACGCGTTCCACATACGAGAACAAGAGCCTCAGTGGGTAAAAAGATTGAAAGAATCACTGGGATGCATAAACATTCAAAAATGCGCCTCTCATCTATGAATGGAACCTCATTCACAGGATTCAAAGTTGAATGCAGTAATTGGGACGGTAATCTTGAACTTGCTAAGAAATTTTAATAAAGATGAATTTGCAAAAAAAAGGGCATCATACTTATTTTTTAGGAAGAGTTTCTTCACTGAAACCATCACTAACATTGAGTGGGTCTAATGCGTCTATTTATCCAGTCAATGACACTTTTGGTATTTTATTTCGTTTGATACAGTTTATTTCTCTGTCCAGAAAACCAAGAATTGATTTCTACAAAAAGTGGTTTTATCATTGGCTTGAAAATCATTCGTTTAAAAGCTGAGGCAGATTACACATCACTTCAGCGTACGTGTCGGGAATAGATGAAAAGTATATCTTTCTTTTTCTAAAACCGATTGACTGAAATTCCCCAATTTCTGGTTCATTACATTCATCATGAACGTACGTAATAAATGCCTTGAAAAATTGTTTTGAGATTATATTTGAAGGGCAGGGGATCCGAGAAAATATCATATATACTGTGGAAAAAAAAATAACAACATCGCTTGCCTGACTGTTTTCGGGTCATTGAAAGACGGGATGAACTAGGACAGCTTTTGCAAAAAATCTTATGAAAAAAATCAATCTCTGCGTTTTTCAATGCGCGAGCCAGAAGCAGAAATGTCATTATTACATTAATAGCATTTGGACAAGAAATTCCTCTTTTTTCAATAATTTCAATATGGAGCTAAAAAAGATAAATTACAATGATATATATATAACTGATGAACTGACTAAAGTACTGTCCTGTGCTTCATTTTTGTCCACCCTGTTTATAAAAATAATTGGTCGTTCTCCAGAGAGAGAAAAAAACTTGCAAAGAATCTCTGAAATTACACATAATTCATGGAAATTGTTGTAGTCGATTGCTTCAAAGCCATTGAATATTTTTATTTTCTTGTCATTATTTTTTCAATGTTACTCTGATTTTTGATTTTTTTTTCGCATCCAGCAGGTGTCGAAGAGTAGACAAAGAGAATCTCATCAATGCGAGGCACGTAGGCCAAAGCGTGAACTGCCGTCAGTGTTTCCGCTTTTTTTTCATTTCCTGTTCTTGTTCCGCATTTAAACTTTCTTTTTTTTCATGTGAGTAGCATCTCTGAGTGCCGGATATGATGAAAGTACATTGAGGCTTCGGTTTGAAGCCAAGTCTCGCAACAATGATGAAAGTTGAAGCCATTCGATAACACATGGCTAAGACAATCCTGAAAAACTTTATAAAATTATGTTTATCCTATGGGTTCCAAGAAATGCCACAGAAACAACGCTTAAACAAAAAAACCAGCGAACTGTTACCTGGGTTAATGGACTCGGTGTTCTCCATTGAGAAGTTCATTATCCAAGAAGTATATTGACCGAGTGATGGCAAGTTTAGACCAACGGGTGATTGAATAAACTGAGCAACGTTTTTTTTTTTTCTAAGTCCCATCTCGAATGACAAGTGAACATAATGATGAATCTCAACATAGATTTTGATTCATTTGTACAAAATCAAAGCATATGAGATACGGATACTGTACTTTTTCTGAGGTGTTTGCCGATACTCAAATGTAGGCATGGTTCATTGCATACAACAGAATGACTACGACATTTTGAGCCACTTCGTTTCTTGAGATGAAAGTGAAGTTCCAGTTGAAGGGATCCTTGTCTTTTCTGTTTCTCCGTTGTTTCTTCGTCTCTAATGCCCTAAAAAGGTCAGGCTTTGTTCTTCCCTTTCTTTTATACGTGCAATGACCTAACATCATCACATGTCCGCATTTTTATGTTCCTATTCTGCCCTTGGGCTGTGTGTCTCTTATTAGAAGCCATTGTCGAATAAAACTGTCAGTCTTTACCAGTTGAAATCTCTGGTTCGTCGTCACTCGTTTTTCTTCCGTAGCCGTATAAAGAAATAATACAAAAAGTCTACATCTAACCCGAAAATTGTATCATTGATAATCCGAATGCAATATTTTCTTGTAAAAAAGGGGGAAAAATGATTCATATGCCCAAGAATTTCGATTAGTTTCCGTGGGGGAAACAAATCTACGACAGGATTTTATTCGCATCTCACGTAAGATTCCGAGTTGTCACCCAAGAAGTCATGAATAATTTTGAACACGTACAGCTTAATCTCGAAAATATTTCAATTGTTGATTTTTTAAAGTATTTCTAATTCAGTAAAGTACTGTCCTGGTTCGATTCCCTCGAATACAGTCATAACTCAGATCAGTCGAATTACTTGAAAACGACGATAAATCGCTTTAATGGCCCTTCATGAAAATTATCTGCATTTGTTCAACAGTACAGTACCTGTGCAAATAAAATCGAGGGTCAATCAAAATGCACGCGAAAAATAGGCGTTGCGTAGTGATAATTGCATAAATAGCCTTGACGTGAATTGAATTTCCCGCACATTTATCAGTGTAACATATTTTTAACAAGCTTCTGACTATTTTTACGTGGGGAAAAATCGAACCCGAAGCCTCGAAACTTCATTCATCTATGTTGTCCGAAGAATAACGTACGGTACTCTCATCACATTCAAAGTTGCAGCCGGGCCGAGCCTATTCCCCGTGAAAAGTAAAGGCTCGTCCGGAAACCCCATTATTCCCCAGCAATCGAATAAACAACTCCAGACATCGGTAACAAACAACCAGCATTCCGACAGAAAAGATTATTCCTATAATTCAAAAAGAATGGAAGGAGAAAGGGGGACTGACAGGATGCATGTGCGTCAGAGTCGTAGCCTTGGAAACCTTGCCCACGAAGCAGCTTGTGAGACTTCGTCGACGGTTACATTCTAGTCTGATAATGTTGATTATAGAGCCTATTGAATGCATGAAGTAATCTTGAAACTACGATCATGAAACGAGGGGAAAAAGCGTTCCCAGTTTCCATAAATTATCACTCTGAAGTACTGTACTGTAATACTCATCGTAACTTTCCGAATAAATTTTCTGCAAACAAAAAAGTATGGTACAATATACGGGTTTTCAACCGTTTGGGGAACGAGCATTTGAAGGTTTCAAAGAATCGTTATTGAAGAAAGCATTGCTCTGCACAGCACAAGATACAATATTTGAAGAAAGCGTTTTCAAAAACGTTTCTCCTTTTTACCTGTTCGGAAAAATTTAACATAAGTAAACAATTGAACTAACAGACTGAGGAAAAATTACAGCACCTCTAAAAAATTGAAGACATTAGTTTTTTAGAAACTTAGACTATACTT